TATAAATCTGCCCAGCCTTTAGGAAGAGCACGGGGACGACGATAAGACTGGCCCTCACACTGGCCCTCATCCTAGCTTAGTCCACAACGGCTGCTAACTCTTTCAGGACCTTGTTGTGGCGCCAAGTATACGTTCCCTGACCTAGGGCTTTTCTGCACGCGGAAAATACGTGCTCGAGCGTCTGCTTAGCTCTACACAATGGGTATGTCGGGTCGTTAGTCGCACTCCACTTGACCGTGTTGACCTCGGACGGTAATACATCGTAAGCAGATCTAACGATAAAGCCCAGAACGGGGCCATTCGCCAGATCTCATCCCATGTGAGTACTTGTGGCAAAGCGGTCTTGGGGTCGATCCTTGTTGCGACTGTTATGCGGCTTTTTGGACCCGAAAACAGTTTTCGGTGTCCCTTATCTGCTGTATCACCATGTAAGTGTATATTTTCGATCTCGATAATTTGAGACCGTTATTTGGAGGATAGCCGAAAACTTTATCAATTGGTGCTCCAAACTCCCTAACGCTGGTTGAAAAGCTGTTCTTGTCTCCAAAATGAGAAATCCTCGACTGGTATGTTCGAAAACATTTCAGCACGAAACCTTAACTTTGCAGATTAAAAGCATCGACCAGCGTTTATTTCCAGTCAACTAATGCTTGAAAACGAACACTAAATATTACACGTGTATCTAGACAAGAATTTCATTCGGTACAATACGTGTCGGCGTCTGTGGCTTAGGCGTTGCGAACGAGCTTTGTAATGCCAGGGGGCCGGGTTCGATCCCAGCTGCGGGCCCTGCGCTTTGCGTTCGTTTCGGCAGTGGTATCGAGAAGCCTACCGTCCAGGAAGCAATGGCAAACTACTGGACGTAAATTTTCCTAGAAAAATAACAACAGTCGAAACATGCTGGGTTCTGCAACGTCCTGTAAAGGGTATGCAATTAACTTATTTCAACAATACGTGTGCACCAATACGATAAATCACTCCGCCAGGCAAACTTTAAATGATAGCACATTTTTTTAAATTATTACATTTCTTTAACAAAAATGCCGTAATGTGTGATCACTGAATTTTGATAATTGATCATTCAAGTATTTAAAAGAAATTTCACTTTTAGAAATAATGTTAGATAAACAATTATTTTTTAACACATTGTCACTTTCGAGTGCCCTTGCACAGTTAAACTGTGTCTGGAATTTACTCCTGCTGGATTCTCATACGATTTGTGTCTTTGAGTCACTGGCTGAATGTGTATTTATCACAGTAAAATATTGGTGGGGAAAGGGAAAATGGGGGGGGGGGGAATTACAGAAGAATAACGTGACATAATTGGTCGACAGCCTAGGAACTGATGAATGCGACCTTAAACTTGAATTAAACCTGGGAATTTAGGCCTTGACTTTGAGCCTGACATTTGACCTTGGCAATAAGATACTGACTTTGATAAACCTGGCATTTTGACCGCGGCAATGGTAGAACTGAAGTAAAACGAACTTCCATGGAAAGACCTGTGATTTTCGGCAGTTAACATATGTTTGGTCATTTGGATATTTTTTGCTACCTTTATTTTGAATATTTACGGTCTTTTGCAGTGTGCGTGCAGCTGAAATGGCTTGTTAAGGGCTAGGGAAGGGCGACCTATGTTGCAGCCCATGAATACAAGCAGACAACAGCTGTACGGAAGGGGGCGGATGGAAGCAGCCACCTTTTGTGCTTTTGTTTCTAGAAGCCATGATTACACTGGGAAGGTGGGGCTAAAAAAAGTGACGTCAGCTGGATTTTCCAGTTCTATTTTTGGTTAATATTTACAGGTGTTTGGCTTCCCTCTTCTTTTGTCTCACCTCTACCTATCTCCTTACCTCTTTCACTCTTCTACCTCTTGCCCTCTCCTTCCTGTCTCCTGCATTCTCTCTCTCACCCTCCTATAGTCTTCATCTTCTTCTTTTTCTCTCTGAGTTTCCTTTTACCCTCTCCTTTCCTGTTTTCCACCCACCCCTCCAACCCCCACCCCTTAGATTTTTTTCTTACGTTTATTGATAATTCCCGGTAAATGTACAGCATGCCTTGATGCCGTTTTCAGTTCAAATAGGTAGATGTGCCTAAGTTAGCATTTTTTATGTGTGGCTACATTAGTTGTAAATGTTTGTGGTCGTTTAGGGGGGGGGGGCAGTTAATCGATCTTCTCTTTTTCTCTTTTTGTGTCTTTTTTCTTTCTGTCCCCTTCCTGTTCTTTCTCTCCCGACTTTCTTGCCTCAATCTTCATTTTCTCTCTCTCTCTCTCTCTCTCTCTCTCTCTCTCTCTCTCTCTCTCTCTCTCTCTAACTGTCTTCACCTCCTCTGTTTCCCCCTTTCCACCTCAGCTTTCTACACCACCTCTACCCTCTCCCCATTTCTGTAATGAAAGAATCAGAAATGAAACTGTAATCCACTGGTATCCTGAACTATTTTCCAATAGTGTGGCCGATCGGAAAGTCGTTGGTTGGGGTCCTGACAGAGCGGCATCTTACCTTCTTTTCAGAACTGACCTCGGCTTCCAGGTCCACCAGCCTTAAGTGTAAGGAATGGAATTCAGGTGGTTGACAAGAATGGGGTGGGAGGGAATCAGGGTCAGTGCTGTTCTTTATGGACCACAACTACGTTCATATTAGGAGACGATGGGAACTGAAAAAGTGGTGTTGCTTAAATTTCCAATTTCTATTTTTGGCGCTCAGTGTTCTCAAAGCCACTAGGGTTGGAAAGCTTGGCTAGGGAAAGTGATACTTTGAGATGTGCCACGAGGAGAGCAACGTTCTGTAAAGGACTTGCTGACTGGTGTGTTCTTACCACCCCACCATGTCTTCCTTCTCTCATCCCTTCTCTTTCCTTTGATCTGTCACTCCTCTATCCCTTTCTTCTCCTTTCTCTCTCCATCCATCCTTCCTCTTTTTTCCTTTTCTTACTCTGATTCTCTTTTGCTCTCCCTCCTTTCCGCTCTGTTCTTTGTCCTCTCCATCCTCTTTTATTTCTCTATTTTTCCTTACGCTCACCTCTCTCCCATTATTCTCTCTCCCCTTTATTTACTCTCTCGGTTTTTCTAAATTTGCTTTGCTGCCCCATGACTGTCTTTTCCTAGTGCTTATTTCCAAACCACATGAAACTGTGTTGTGGGTTGGGTTTTAGCAGTTGGCTTGTATGATTTTTCTTCTTTGATGTGTTGTTATTTTTGTTAGCAATTCTGGCATATTTTAACTCTGTCTTGTCTCCCTACCCGCCCTCTCTCTCTTTATCTTTCTTTGTCACTGACTTCCTCCCTATCTCTCTTTTGCTTTATGTCTTTTTGCCTCTCTCCACCACTTCCTTTTTGAATACCTCCCATCCACTCTCTTGCTCTGCATTTTTTTCTCTCTTTGTTCTATCCCTCTGTATGTTTGCCTCTCTATACTGTCCCTCTGCCTTTCCGCCTTTCTGTCTACATCTCTCTGATAGGCATCTCCCTCTCTTCCTGTCTTCTCTCTCCCCCTGTTTGCCTCCCTCCAGCTCTTTTTGTCATTTTGTTCCTCCTTCCTCCACATCTCGGTTTCTTTCCCGTCTTCCAACTCTCTTCATCTGACTATCTCTGTATCTCTGTCCCTCTTTCTGTATTTGTCTCCCTCTTTTCATCATGTCTGGATCCCTCTCTCTTTGTAATCTTTTTTCCTCTTCAATATGTCTCTCTTATTCTTCTTCTCCCTCTCTTTGTATGTCCATCTATTCCTGCCCGTCCCTCTTTACCCACTCTGTCTTCTTTTGTCTTTCACACTGTCTCTTCCACTCTACCTCACACCTGTCTTCCTCCCTCTCTGTATGACACTCTCCCTCTCTGCCCCCCCCCCCCCCCACCCCACCCACTTTCACGTACCAGGTCTAGAATAGATAGGACTTAAATTTGCTCCCTCTGCCACCAATTCTAGAAAAAAAAATTGAAAAAAAAATATAAAAACACACTATCTTTTCTGGAATACCCACAGATGTGCACACGAATGAAGTACCTTGTGTGCTCAGTACACCCTTAAACAAGGCAAAAATACATTGTGTAAGTATCACTCCGAGACAACCATGACAAAAAACTAAGGATACCTTAAACAGGACAATGAAAAGCCTTGAAATTGATTGCTAAATTTGGCTATGAACCCTGGGTGGAAATACAACATCGACAGAACATTGGATCATGGGTTTAGACATCCAGCATTTACCTACTACAGACAAAACACTCAACATAAAACACATGGAGTTCTCCCAACTGGAAAAAAAAGATAAACCAGCGCATTCATTTGATAAATGTGTAAACATCACATTATCATGAAACAATTATCAATGCAAGTGTATACATCTCACATTCAAGTCTCATTTGTCTAGCTAGATAAAACCATATAACAGTATTCAACAACTGTGACACCTCCTGTAATAAATATATTTCACTCTGTACCACACCCTGTACTTTACGTTAACACTACCGCCCATACATAGAATCAAATACTTAAGACAAAAGCATTATGTTGCCCCAGACATCCTCTAGTCTCTCAATATTCATACATCCTCTGGACAAGGTGCGAACCCACACGAGATAGTACACAAACACTGGGGCTAATAGTGGTCAAAGGCCCTTTCTGTCCAACGTCATCCCAGAAACATGTTCCGAACCGGGGGCCTGGCCTGCGTAAATCAACCCGACGTTACCCTGAAAGTCAGAGTGCGTTTGCTTAACACGAGGGACCAACAGTCTGCACACAAATAAGCCAGACCTGTAAATAGATGTATACGCAAAACAAGTTTAAACAAATTCTAGAGGTTGACAAACAACTAGGACCTTCTGTTGCAGTTTACAGCTGGTGAACACGAAGAAGAAAAATTATTAAATTCACATATAGGCTGTTTCATAAGTCCCTCCACATGCGGACATGGTTTCACATGACGTGAACTACACAATTTCCATGACGCTGTACTCAGTTATTGAACAATGTTGATTGTAGAGGGTCTCCTTGAATACTCTATCGTGTGTAACGTCTCAACTGCATCAGGCCACGGGCCACGTTGTCTGCTACAGCCTTGACATGGCTGTCAATGTCGTCTGCTGTCGTCTCCCAGTCGTTAGTAACCAGAAGTAAGTATCGAAAGTCTCTCCAGCACGCCAAAACATTGACCATGTAGTTTTCTAAACTCTCCCTGCGACCCTCTGTCTCCACAAGTTGTCTGAGCATGGCGTCAACATCTTGGTTGTCGTTGATTACGTCGAAAACGAGGTTTCCCTTTGGCACCCTGGTCAGTCCCAAGGATGGCTGCATTTCTGAAATCAGGCGCCGCATTTTTATAATATTTCGAACAAGCATCGTCATGGATGTGTTTATTGATGCCACAAAGTCTTTAACGATGAACATTAATTGCTCGTTTTGCTGTATGCTACGATCTACCATCTTTCCGTGTCGCTCCAAGTTTCTTGTTATCTTGCGGCTGATAGCTTGGTTAAACTTCAGTACAGCGTTGAGCTTTTGTCTAATCTCATTTGTCATTTTCTCTGAGCCATCTTTGTCTACAAAGACCTCATTGAGAGTCTCAACTAAGCGTTCGACGCCGTTTCTCAGGGCCAGACAGTCTCTCCACAACTCTTGCATGTCACAAAGGGAAGCCACTAGTCTCCGATTTGTGAACTCTCTTGCGCTGGCCATCTCTAAGCCAACCATGGATGGGTCGAGTTGTGTTTGCTTGTTTCCCATCATCCGCAGCAATTTCCTAGAAAAAAAATAATAATAGACGAAAATGAAAAACAGCGGGTTCATTACTCTTTATTCTGTTTATACTCTTCATTACTACAATCACAATTAAAGCGGAAATGTAATGTAGATCTTAAATATATTGTAACAACCTACATATTTTATCAGCTGTGAACACATATGGTAACTGCAACTGACTCACTATGTTGAGAAAGGCGGTGACAGCCATGCTTCGTACAGAATGGCAGGCATCGTTTCAAAGGTCCGGGTGGTTAACGTCGTGTTGGATATTTTCTCCAGGTTATCCTGTTGTGTTGGGACATGTTGGAAATATATATAAAATTGCCATTGTGTTACCCCCTTAGTTTTAAAACCCTGGTGCAGTCCCCAACCCTTGCCACTGGCTATATGAAAGACGAGCGCAATTTTTTTTTTTTTTTTTAGGAGCTGAAAGGAGAACGTCCAACTAATATTTTCAGCTGAAAGGGAGACGCACCAAGCATGACAATTTAACCCAACACCACCCAACCCTCCCCCCCCCCATGTATATAATTCATTGACATTATTATCAAAACTGTTAACTCTAATAAGGTCTACATTTATAACTATAAGCGTATGTTCAATTCTCGAACTTATTTCTGGAATTTTATAAAAGCTGACAACTGGTGCGGTTTTTCCAGTAGTACCTGAAGGAAGCCCGGGGCATCTAAAAAATAGAAACAGGATTGTCCCTGCGAAAGTGGGAGATATGGTCAGCCTAGCTGCACGGAACGTAGGAATAAATGGATTGTACCATATCTTTCATCAAGGCTACTAACCCGCTGATACATGGTTTTCTGACGTAAGGATCGAAGAAGAAAAAAACGGATGTAATTCAACCTTTTTGCCATTCAGGTCTTTATTTCCACAGTGCTGCTACCACACTATGGTTATTATAAGCGTCGAAACAATCATCGTTCTTTTAAAATGCGTGTATTCTACCTCTCTCTTACAGAATGACACATCCCTGTTATGACATAACATTCCATCTGGGAGCGGCGTCCGTGGCCTATGTGTTGCGAGTCCCGCTCGTAATTCCAACTACCGCGATCGAAACCCACTGCTGGCTGCATGGATTTTTATCATGGTATGGGGCGTCGCAGGTCGACCCAGCCTAAAATAGGTTCCAGGATAGCTGCCCTAGGGAAGTAAAGACAGCTGGCGTAATGCTGACCACATTACCCACCTAGTACTGAAGGTCTGTAAAAATATGGGTGCTCTTCCCATACGCCCGATGCGCATATAGGCGTGAAAATAGATCTACAATTTTACATCTAGGCAGAAAAAAGCCGACATGTCTTGCAAATCCAAAATGTCAAACACTGTCAGTGTAGCTTAACCGTCGTCATGTCGTGTCCTACTTGTAGGTCACTTTCCCCGACTATGACGTTGATGGTGTAAAACCATGACTATATAGAAACGGTTTGTCATTAGGGTATCATTATCAAGTGCCTTGCCGACGGGCGTGGGCGATAATGCAATACTGCGTGTATCATTTCGTGTGTTGACACCCCTCCATGATATGACAAGGGGCTGTCGAGAATCTTCTCGCACTGTTTTCTAATGTGGATCTTTCCGCTGGTCACAGCATGTTCCAGTTTCCATATTCCCATAAATTGACCAACAGTTATGACTGTCTCTTTCTGATGTTTGTAATAAGTTGTCTTCGAGCCCTTGCCTCTTTCCAAATATCCAGTTTGCTCATTTTGGCTGTCCAAGGAATTCTTAGGGTTCTTCTGTACAGCCAGAAACTGATTAATAAGGGTATGGTAAGTTATATTCATGAAGCATAGAACTAAAATGGCATATTTAATGCAAATAGTACAGCTCTTAGGGACGACCATGCAAAATATAATTGTTAAGGACAGTTTTTTGGCAACTGTATAGGAAACAAAAATGACTAGAAAGTGTGTCGGTAATCTTAATTTACGTACTAATGACTAGAAAATATGCAACCTTAACTCTCCATGCCCTAAAGATAGAATCTACTTAAGCTCGACCTTTGCCCTATTATGATATTATAAAAGGGGAAAAAAATGCTTAAAATGCAAAACGAAGTACACGAAACAAACCGATCGGCCACGAGATTGACTGGACTGAAGAAAAAGTCTGGCAAGCAGAGGCCGCATTGCGGACACCGCGGGTAAGTAGAGAGGGATGGAATAGCTACTTTAGGGCTTCGGTACTTCTCAATGGTTAGTTTCGGTGCTAGACCTAGATTTCCATCAGTAATTTCACTGTGAGAGTTAGACATAGAAGCAGCGTGTATCCTCGCTCTGAGCTAGTTTGATTACAGGTCGCTATATGCGATTTACTGATCCAGTAGTGTGTTGAAGCTTAACGCACATTTTAATATGTTTCATTTTTTGCCATCACTAATACATTTTTTAACGTAATGCGTTTATTATCCTTTTTCCCTTGTCATGGAGTGAGTAGCACATGGTCTGGTCGAGCACGTGGATAGTTGTTGATGCATTGTTGTTTGTGAACCCCGTGAGTTTTGTGTTCAGTAAAATTAACAGATGTTTAATGTGATAATTATAGTCTAGCTGTTTAGATTCGGATTAGGACTTGTAGTTAGTGTACGTAGTTTTATAGTTATGCTGATTAAACTTCATAGAGAATGTAATGGGGGATATTTTCGACCCAGTTTAGGATGGTTGGGGGGAAGGCCCAAAGCTGACCGAAAACACCGAGATAGTCCAGATACTTGGATTAAACGAGAATCTGGAGATAGGTGACTAACCACTAGTTATCACGGGGACCACGGTGAAGCGACCCAAGGTCTCCACGGGAAAAGTAAAGGACCACCACGTGTTGTCACGTGAAAGGAACCCGTGGTATAAGTCAGACTTGACTCTGGTCAAGTTTAGTTTGTGTCGACCTGTTGGAGCGAGAGGACGAGCGACTGAATGTGCGAATGTCTACGTGAGAGCCTGAGGAGAAAGGAGACCTGCCGACGAAGTGTTAAGCTGAGATCGACCATGCCAGCGTGTGAGATGTCCAAACGTCAGTGTTGAAATCCATGGGACCCATCGTTGCTTGAATGCCTGCAGAAGACTGTTCGTTAAAGGCTGCGTGAGTTTGTGTACGAAAGCGGTTCAATTAGACATCGACTGGACTATTCTGTTTGTCGTAAGTTTTAATACGTCAATAAAGTCATGTCTCGTAAGCTCACATCGGTGTCGGCTTGTGCCAGTTGTGTAACGTGAAGCGTGTGAGAATATCATCCACCACACACGCATGAACACCGCCTAGACAACGAGTAGAAATACAAACCCATTCATTACAATTGGGTGCTTGAAAAACGGAGATAACCGGGAAACAGAACAGCAACGGCGAGATGATGTCATGAGCTGCTACTTGCCACGCAGACGTTGAAGGGCCATTAGAAGTCAAACGACTGATATATAAGTGACGGAGTCTGCCTGAGAGAGCACAGCTTGTGAAGTCACCGAGCAAAAACATCAGTTGCACAGTAAAAGCCGAAAGTTTTGATAGTTTGGTCAACAGAGCAACGAAAAGTGATACCGGAGACTATCACGTACACGCAGATGAGGTTCCATTGAAAGTCTAAACGGAAAAATCGTGATAGACGGCCATGTAAGAGACGATATCTTGTGAAACGCATAGTTGCTGGAATCACCGAACAGTTGCGACAAAAATTTAACCCGTAACCACCTGATGCTGGGTTATGTCGTCACGTGGGTGAAAGGTTAAAGGACACGTAGACTGCCCTGGGTTACGTGGCACTTTGCGTCGTTCTGCAAATTCATCAAGAAGCCTACGAGAAACAGATCAAATGGCTGTATGACATTTACGACGAAGAAGTTGTCCACTACGCGTCAACAATGACAGAGCGATACACAAGAAAGCCAAAAGCCACGAATAAATAAAAGGGCGAACAAAATATTTCACGATCAACGAGTCAACTGAGACTTCCGGGTCGCCATTCATCACAGCGTGGATCGAGAAATATCTATCAACAGCGCTGAGAAATTGCCGTTAACTAGCCGCAAAACTGGCAAAAGCTAGCAGAAATATCCTAATCTGCGACAACTGGCTAACTAGGTCACACAGCAAATTTGGGTCAGTGTGTGCACGCGGAACAACAGGCCTACAGTGAGATTGTCAGCCAGGACAGAACAAGGTAAACATTGATTAAATTCAGCAAAACTGTGTTTAGGTTAGATATTCAGGACATATCAGAAGTAGTTGGAATTCCTAGTAGTTTGTGATAATAAGCAGCAAGAAATATAACTATTATCGTGTGCCGTGCCGGAAAAAGTAACTTAATCCGATATATTTACAGTGCTTTTGTCAAGTGACGATTCTTCAAGTGTATTTAGACTATCGCAAAATTAATAGTGTTTCAAGTGACAGATTTTCAAGTGTGCGTACAATTTGGCGTTATTAATACACCGTTTCGGATTTACTTTAGAACCGACATCAATAGAACTAGAATTATTTATTAATTGAATTTATAGGTATTATGAGCGTACTTAATTGAATTTATTTCATTATATTGCAAGAATTTATTATTGTAATATTTATTTGTCTGATATTTTATTTATTAATAACTATATTATTAACTATTACTTGGTGGTTATATTATTTTACACTATAATAATCTTTTTTGATTTTGATTTATCAATTATTTATATTTTATACCAAAATTTATTAGGTTGTGGGTATATAATTGTGAACGATATAATTGTTATTGTTTATTTATTTCTGGTTGTAATTTTTGGTAATTATTGAATCATTTATTTACTTCTGGAAATTTTGGGGAGCAAATATACCATTCCTATTCGATTTATCATCATCATCATTACTTATTTCTAAAATTTGTTGACAAATTGTGTATGATTATTGGTATCATAATTTTTGAGAAGTTTGTATAGGACCAGTGTCATTTACGTTTAGCATAGATATATTTTGTTAGAATCTTTAGTAGATAGGATCTT